CCCCCCCCAAAAAAAAAATGAATTTCAAAAGGAAACAAATTAATAGCTTAAATTAAAAGAAAAGAACAACAAAAAAAGAAGGACAAAAACGAAATCAACAACAAGGGAAGGAATGGCGCAAACCAAAAACCGAGTCTGAAGAGTTGTTTATCTTGGATCAAACATTGTTCCCAAAATAGTTTTGTCATGTGATTTTTATGTTTTAGGTCATGTGACTTGTCACTGGCTTGACTCGACTCGTCGCTCTTGGGCTCTCACGTTTTTTCAATCCGTTTTCAAAATATCCCTTGTTCCTGATATTGTCCTAGATAATGACAACGTCAACTAGATAATATCTACCCTGGTGATCTCAACTTGCAGCATTAGACCAAACCTAACGGCTGAGTACACTGACGGGCACAAGACTGCTCCGTCATTTGAGGTTCAGATTGAAATCATCTTCGAGAGTGCACTGCTAGCCTGCAAAAGGGAAGGCAGGCAAAGGCAAGAAGAAGCAGAAGAGTTTGTAAACTGCTGAGTAGTCTCTGCTGTGTATTGTATTAGTAGGGTCTGAAAGTCATAGAATGTTGTCGCGAACACTGATTTTAGGGGCACTTTTGTTGGCCGTCGTTATTTTTCATGCAGAAGCCTACGTTCCTCGAATTATTCGGGGGAGACCAAAGGGCGGCTTCGTTGGAATACCCGGTGAGATTTATATTTAGATCTAATCTAGATCTAGATCTATATGTCCAGATTCTAAACTATAGACCTAGATCTAGACCTTATTTATTTCTTCGTCTGTCCATCGATGACTGTCACCTACTACAGCCCGTGGTTACTGTACATAGGCCTGCTGTGTGATTTACCTTACGAAGTGACTATTTCTCCGAACGTTCGGGAAAATAAAGTTGAACTCTTTTTCTCTCCTGAACGGTTTCCGATCTGGAGATTTTTTGGGTTATTTGTGAGATTTAGGCGTCATCCTTTCATTCTGTCGTTCTGCGAGGACTGGGAAGGAGCATTTTTTTGCATCAAGTTTAATTTCTAGACCTGGAGATTTTTAAATGTCTGAATATTCAGATATTTCAATTGTGGTTGGGACAACGTTCCCGGACTATTCTTCATTTGAAAATACCTTCAAAAGGTACTGCGAGAAAACAAGACTGCCCGATCTTGACAGTAACCTATTTTGCTTTTAGTCACCCAGCAAAAACTAAAATCCTTCATGTGAAAAAAAAATCCCTTCATGCCCTTACACACACACAGACACAAACACACACACACACACACACACACTCATGCACTCTCACACACACACAATCACACTCACACACATACAAGCCACTCCTTTCGCTTATTATTATCAACAAATCTCGAAAATGGAAACCGTTCAGAGAAATAGAGTTCTGGTGTATTTATGTTCAAATCTGAAACGCGAGACTTATGGGGGAAGATATTTACAAAACAAGTTGTAAAGTTTTTTTGGGATCACCCTGTATATTATTGTTCCTTTCTTGCTCAGAATTTATAGTTTCCCCAGATACTCAATCTGCACAAAATGGAAATGATCCTACGCCTCCACCTGATCAGTGGTTTGAGCAGAAACAAGATCACTTTGACGGTATTAACCTACTCACTTGGAAACAAGTAAGTGTTTGAAGGATTCATTTTCATCTGCAAACCACGCAAAATAGCACAAGGCCTAACTGAGGATTTATTGAAAATATAATTAGCTGTAAGTATCTAATAAAACGTATATAGATCTATATCTTCAGCCAGCAATTTTGACTCCCAACACGTTCCCCATATTGTACAGTGTAACCTGCTCTTACATCCACCTAAGCAAACAACCACTTCTCACACCCCCACCACTGCCACCATGCATTTTTTCTGTATTATGATAACTCTTTCCAAGACGTCTACCTGTCTAAGACAACCACTTTTTTCCTCGACAATGGATGACCGTCTTGGACAACTTTGACTGTATTAGAGTTCTCTTTTCCTAAATAATTATTAATAACCTTTAGAGTTTGAACGTTCAAAGCTTTGGGTCAAGTTTTGAAAATGTCTCAATATCTGAAAAGAATGAGATTTTTTATTTTTGTCTGAAGGGGTTGTTTTGTGGTTTTGTTTTTGTTGGGTTTTTTCTCAATTTGCCTTTATGTTGTTGCTGATGTGAAATCGTTTTGTTCAGTTGTGAGATTTTCGTGGATGGTTGATTCTTTGGTGTGGTTAGCTCTCCTTCTTTCATATCAAAGATCTATCATCCTTATGTCTCCTCTGACTTTTCTTTGTATGTTTCTGTCTAGTATACAGTGTTATGTCTAATATTCAGCATTTATGTGACCTATTTATTTTGCAAATGTATTAAAACTCTCAACAAAACAAAATTCTATGAGATTTTCACTTATCCTCAAGTCTTCAGTCTAATCATTTATTTCATAGGTGTGAAACCATTTGCCTGTAAATCAATTTGTAACTTTCAGCGAATTATAAGATTATAATTATCTGTATCCTGCCTGGTTTATCTACTTAGCATTGACTTTCAACAGCAAAGCCTTGTACACGTACGACTGTAAGAGTTTTATCAGATGTCAGTCTTTATCTGACGGTCTATACCCTGTGGCCCTTAGAACTCCAAACATTGAATTTGATAACTCAGCACATGTGATCTTCACACCCCTTGTCTGTTGAAGTATCCTGTCACATCATCGATTTATCAACTGTCAGTCAGTATGTAACTGTTATACTAGGGTAGGTTGTTGAATGTTCACTAGTTTTCATATTTCATCAAAACACACCCCCTGCAAACTTAGCATAAACTCCTTGCCTGTAATGTCCAAAATATCAAAAAGTTTATATGAAGAAATGACAGTTCTTAGTCTGTCATAACAGTATGTGTATGTTCTGTCTGTCTGTCTGTCTGTTTGTCTGTCTCTCTCTCTCTGTATATATATATATATAATAAACACACGCACACACACACATTATATATATAGGCCCTTTATATACAAATATGCCCAACTGAAAATTTCAGAAGGCTGCCTGCTTTGCAGAATCGGGGTCGTCGACGCAAATTCATTTGGTGATTGGCTAGATTAAATTGCCCGTTTCTTTTTGCCTTTTTGCCTTCTTTCTTAAATGTCAAAATTAGCACTTCTCTAGATTTATACACCAAATCCAGAGGCATGTGACGAAATTGCAACAAGCGTATGACAAAATTGGAAGTATAGTCAAAATTGATCATTGCACTAAAGGGTTGCTGTTGTCTCAGCAGTGTGCTTCTTTTTACTCAAACAAGCAACAAGGTGGTAGGGGCTTTGGTAGGATTTGTGACACCCCCTTTCTTATCAGAAAAAATGTAGAGTCACTGAGCAGGTCATATGGGCCATTGCTTTATCTAGAAAAGAAGCTGTGAACGTGCCAATGTAACGAAAGGCGTTATACTTAATTAATGTTACAGATTTAAGAATTTTGTCAAGGGAGTGTCAGGGAGACTCACATCACCCAGGCGGGAATGAGTACCCGTCTATAGACAGTGAAAGATCTTGTCAGCATGTTAGTGTTTTAGTGCATGTAATCTGCAGCTTGCACTACAGTGCTTCCTGGGAAGCCAGGAATGTTTCTGAGTCGTGTTCTAGGGTCTGATGGGGTAATAGTAGTTGTAAAGCACATAGGTTATGCTGTATTGTATGGATACTCGCAATATAAATTCAATTATTAGTATTATTATCTTCTCTAAATGCTCACTGAGTTAGTGGATTCAAATTCATATAATATAGATGAAAAAGTTATGGACTTGAATTTGTCTTTTGCCAATATATATGTTGGGCAGATCTCAGGCATATAAGACACAGGGTGGAGAAGACCCCCCCAGATCAGAGACAGGTGGAGAGCCCTCCTCGGTGACCTGTACCTAGGATGAAAGAGACAAACGATGAATTGATTATAAGTTGTGTTTGTGAATTACAAATTCTCTCTATAGTCTTTTGAGTTTGTAATCATATTTGTGTTGTTGTTTCTTTCAGAGATTTTTCAGTAATGGATCCTTTTACAAGAAAGGTGGCCCCATGTTTGTGCAGATCGGAGGTGAAGGGGAGGCAAACCCCATCTGGATGATGGAAGGGGCATGGGTGGATTATGCAAAGAAGTACAATGCATACTGCTTCCTGTTGGAGCATCGTTTCTATGGGAAAAGTCACCCCACCCCGTACGTTCACATAATTGATTCAGACGTGTCTCTGTCTGGTTTCAATAGTTGATGTTGATGCTTTCATGTAGCCTTATCATATTTTTTTCTGTTCTATTTGATTATTGTCCTATCATTGGCAAGCTGTTCAGATGCACTAAGCCCTACATTTTTGAAAGAATTTCTTTATGCAGTTTCGTAATCCTATGGTGTCAGTTGCATAAGCTCAAAGAATATTTTGTCAAAATGAAAATTTTTCTTGTTAAAAAAAAACAAGAAAAGGTACATGATTTAGATACAAATTATTGAAAGAATTAGACGAGTTGTTTTTTCTTTCCTCTGAAATATTTTACTCTCTGGGCTTAGAACAGCGGAGCAACTCGCAGATGCTGTATTTTATTCTTTTGGTTTTTACATTTGGAACTATAATGACCTTGAGAAAGGGGGGAGGGGGGTGAGGGTGGGGAAGAGTGTAAGTCAGAGTGTCAAACTCAAATTATTCTTTAGATTGCGGGCCAAACTGGATAAATACTCACTGTGGAAAGAAAAAAAGCAAACCTTTGTAACTCACTTGAGCCTGAGCTATTTTTCACCCAATAACTGTTGCAGCCTGACAGTTTTTGGGTACATGTATTTTGAAATGGCAATGTCTGGGGGATACGCAGTTGTTGTTTTTTTATCCGCCCATTTTATTATAAAATGCATATACAGTGGAGTCCACTTATAACGAGTCCGGAAAAAACGAGAAGTCTGTTATAAAGACACTGTTCTAAAACCCCGTTTTTTTCTCCTCTTTACCTTTGTAAATAAAATACTGCTATAGCGCTATCAGACAAACATGCGAGTCGGTTATAGCGGAATATTGCTGCTGCTGTGCACAGTGCATAGGCCAATTATGCATAATGCAAAACCTCGCCAGTTGAGAAACTTGTTGGTGATCTAGCGAAACAAAGAATAGGAGAGCCCATGTGCGTCAACAATGAAGGCCGGAGCGACTGAGTAGGGAGGGTGTGGCATGCGCAGACAAACAGAACGCATTGCGTGATAAGCCAGCGTAAGCCTTGTTTAGATTATCGAGGCCTACCATGCCTCTCACTTCTCCGATGCGGGGATGGAGAGGTCACAGCAATGTGATGGATGGAGTGAATGTGTGACGTGCGCGAGCAGACGGAATGCACCACAGGGTGGGATGGGGTGGGGGGAAACACAGCGAGCGAGTTAACCCGGAGCCCTTTCTTTCTGATTTCTGATCGCCAAAGCCGAGCTGCCAGTACACATCGCTAGATCTAGCGCTAGAGAAATAAACCTGATTCGAATTTTGATCAAGTAAGACCTAGAGGTCATGTTGAAACAAAATCATCATCAGGGGAGATAGCAAAAGGAGATAAACAGAACACCAAACTCATAGATTAGGCCTACTTTACAGTTTTCCTTGAATTTATTACTGGATCCCTTATAGCGAGAATCCTGCTATAACGGACATTTTGCTCCGGTACCCACCCTCTCGTTATAACAGGATTCCACTGTATCACAATGTGAGGGTGACTGACTTGGTTCGTAAGAGCTCAAAACTTCGCCAAATTTTAACTAAATGAAACAAGTGGGTCAACTGTTGGCTCGCCACTTCCTTTAGCTTGTAACCAAAAAACACCAGAGATGTCGACCAATAAAGCGCATCCTGTAAGTACACAAAATTAGGCTCAAGTGAATTAAACATTGATATGAAATATTAATAAAACAAGCCATACCAATTTTCACCTTTATCCCAATTTGTCTGAGCTAGATATTTGGCATTTTCACTTGGGAACCAGTTCATTTATGCTTGGAGTAAGGCTCTGTATTGAGGAGAATCTCAGAAAGGACTACCTGAAGTACTGTTGCTAGTCAAATATAATTGTTTGCGGGTCCTGATTTGGCCTGCGGTCCATAAGTTTGAAACCTGTGGTGTAGATAGTCCAATGAGAGGATGATGTTTCCTCACAGACTGATTAACACTCATGTGCCATCTCATCTCTTCTGTAAGTATGGCATCTAGTCTCGCTGTTTAGCACTCTGTCTCTAGAAATGTTAATGGAGGGACAGTCTTGTAGAAAATACCCCACCCCCCCCATCCTTCATCCCTTCCTACAACCTATGACCTGCTTTTGAGATTTCCTTTAGTGTTTGCAAGATCCTTTAAACCAACATCCGTGGAGCAGTAGTTATGTTCTTTGCTGTCACATATAGAAGAACAAAGCTCCTAAATCTTTAGAGTTTCTTTTTCTTTCTGTTGGGACGTTGTATCCCTCTCAGCCCAGGTTGATGTTTGCTTCCAAAATTGAGTCAACCAAAGAGTTGAAAACATCAGGAAGAGAGCCGATTAAGAGAATGTTGTGCAAGTATAAGAAAAAAAATTGGGGATTATATTTTTGATCAGTTTACCACTCTTTTTGGATAAAAAGTGTTGAGTTTAAGCGGACTTCACTGTATGTAAACTGAACTAAACTGTGCTTGTAAAGAAAAAAAATATCAAGGATTTCATTTTCTTTCGGTTTACGACTGTTTTCGGATGAAATGTGTTGGGTTCGTTTTTTTGACACGCACACTTGTTAAAGTTAAATTTCTTTTCTGAATGGTTTCTGTGGCCTTTGACGTCAAAAATCAGTTTGTATACAACAATTGGAATAAATTTTTTTTTAAATGTCGAGTAGACCTTGCATGAGTGCGGTTTTACTCTTACACAATGATGAGAATTCGGCTGATGAATGAGCTACGTCTAATGTTTTCAGTTCCAATTCTAATTCCTTTTTTGTGAACATGCGATCATCACTTTTAATTTTCTCAGTACGCTGAAATTTTAATTATGGTTGGGGTATTTTTGTAGAGATACAGGTGTAGTACTGATGTACGGCATCTGTATCCTGGTCCGTGGGGACAAGTGTTGCACGCTCTGCGCACTGAGTGGGTGGAAAGTGTGAAGCGGACTCCACGGTACTTAAACTAAACCAAGCTGTGTACTTTCAGAGACATGAGCGTGAACAACCTGAGGTATCTCAGCAGTGAGCAGGCACTAAGTGACTTGGCGACCTTCATCACAGCAGTAAGGAAAGAGCTGGGAGGACCAAAAGTCATTGTCTTTGGAGGTTCTTACCCTGGTATGTGACAGCAGCCTAAATGGTCCAAAACAACCTTTTAGTGTCAAAGGGGTTGTCATAGATGTCTGCCTTGGCACTATCTTTAAACTTATTTACTTCTTACTTGTTCTGTCCTCAAGGTGTCACGGGCAGATGCAAATGTCAGTTGTGGGCCAGGTGTGTTGCTGTTTGGATTATCATGGTCTTCCTTAGAGGGTTTCTTTGACTCTTCTGTCGATCCATCCTTTAGCCTTTTTTGGGCTTCCTCTTGCCTTGTAGCCATCAAATGGCATTTTGTAGGCCTCAGAAGCTGGCTGTTGTGGCCCCATTCTCATTACATGTCCATACCACCTCATTTGTTGTTCTTCAATGTATTTTATGCTTGATTTAATACACTATCTTTATAATGTTGAAATATTGCATGGAGGAAAGTGAGAAGGGTTAGTTTATACACGTGATTGTCTGGAACAGGTGGCAGTTAAAACAGGTTCGTCCGTACTCTTTTTTTTTAAAATTGTTTGAAATTCCTTATTCAGTTGGGAGATGGGGGGAAGGATGTCAATAAATAAGCCCACTGATCACCAGCTTGAAATACGGCCTCTGTAAGTGAAAATTTGCATGCGGACATTGACTGCTCTTGTAGAGGGGGTAGGAGTAGGAGTGGGTAGACATTTGAACCTCGATTATTATAAAGGAGTATTTACAGCATAATGTATTTATAATATGGGGGGCTGAGATGCAAAACCCGCTGCATCTATCGTAGCACTTTTGAAAAATCAGCTTTTTTAAATGCTTCTGTACTCATGAACTGATTGTATGATGATTAAAATAAACAATTTGGGATATGAAAGTGGTGGTAATTTGCTCAAACCAGCTATATCCGGGAAAAAAAGTCACTTGATGCCTTAAGTCACTCTTTTGTTCTAATTACAGTCACAGTAGCCCTCTCACAACACTTAAGCCTCATAGGACTGGATTTTTTATCTGCTGGCAAAGGATGAAAGTGATCTCTATCAAACATGTTAAATGAGCTGTTGTTTTGGGCTGAACAAAACTACCATTTACATTCATGGACACCCTGTTGAACAGGAAGTTGCATGACAGGATCGGGAAATTTTATTGGCTGATAAAGAAAATTTTAGGGTGTATCAAGTTTAGGGAAAATTCTGACTTTGGATGTTTCTGGTTTTGTGTGAAAAGAAGATTTTTTGGTGGCTTTTATGCAGGATGTGTTTGGTTTTGGCTGAAAACACTTTGTGCATCTGATAGCCGATGAGAATGTGCATTTATATAGGCAAACAATCTCTTTTTTTTTTTCAAAAATGTCTTTTGGCGGGGTTTGTATCTCACCTTCTCATATATTCATATACAATGTATTTTTCATGACACAGGCTCACTTGCTGCGTGGTTCAGAATGAAGTATCCCCACATCGCCCATGGGGCTGTGGCTTCCAGTGCTCCGCTTCTGGCTAAAATCAACTTCTTTGGTAAGTTTTTCTGCAGGTGGAGTCAGTTTCTTTGTGGTTTTTCTTTTTATATCAACGTCAACTTTTTTTGGTAAGTTTATCTGTAGGTGTAGTCAACTTCTTTGGTAACTTTTTCTATAGCTGAAGTCGACTTTTGTTAATTTTTTTTGCAACTTAGATGAACTTTTCTAGTAATTTTTTTTAAAGCTAAAATCAACTTCCCATTGAAGTTTTTGTATGGCTAAAGTCAATTCTTCTGGTAAGTTTTTTCTGTAACTGAAGGTACTATTTTGGATAAATTTTTCTGTAACGGAAGTCAGCTTCTGTGGTAATTTTTTTTTTTTAATTGGGGGGGGGGGGGGGGGGGGCTTTTGTCTACCTTCATATATAGGTCTATTATTTGTGTGATTTTTTTCTCAGAGTACATGGAGGTCGTTGATTCTGCTCTGAGAACTTTTGATGCCTCCGGGACCTGCAACAATGCTGTGGCTCAGGCCACTCAAGGTGTTCAGGAACTGATGTCCACATACAAAGGTCGCAGGCAGCTCAAGAGTTTGTTCCAGTAAGTAATAATAATAATAATGATGAAAATAATAATAATAATATAATAATAATAATAATGATGATGATAATAATGATAATAATAACAATGCGCACATGCGCACCGACACACACACACACACACAACCCTATAACACTCAAAAACTTTCTCGGTTTCCCCGAGAAGCCTGCAGTGCAAGCTGCGGCTTGCACGTTGTAAAACACTATCCCACTGACAAGATCCGAGTTTTGATTCCCAATGGGAGAGAATTTTTATAGAGTATCCCAGTCTTTCTGCCGAGAGGTTGTATATATGTCTCAGCTTGGGTGGACCCTGACTGGCAGGGTCGAAGCCTGACTTCTAAATGATCTAAATTGTATCAATGAGGACGTAAAACACCTACATAAAAAAAAGTCATAAGTAGCAGTGACTCTATTATACTGTTGTTCCCTTGTGCAGACTTTGTGATGACCTTGACCCCAATAGCAAGAAAGACATCTCCAACTTTTACTCTACGATCGCTGGCAACTTTGAGGGAGTTGTTCAGTACAACAAGGATAACAGAGCTTTTGAGGTTTGTTAATAATAGTAGATAATGATAGTAATGCAAATTTATATGCAGGCTAACCTAATCCCTAGAGGGCTCTATGTGTGAATTATCACTCAACGTAACTGACAAATCAAATGACAGAAAATGCACATTATGAGACGTATAAACTCATTCAAACACACATGCACACTCACACACATACACACACACACATTGCTCCCTGACCCACACACATAATCACTTTCAAAATTTACTGGAAGAGGATAGTTTTTTTTCCGTCTGTACTTTTTTGTGGCTAACGGGTGATGGTCTCAGAGTCTAGCAATGACATAGCAAACACACACAAAGAGAAAAACGCACATCATGAACAGGTTTTCAGGCTCAGAATTTGTTTCCTATAAAAATGCAAAATGGTCATTTTTACAGGTAATTGACTTGGGCAGGTGGCCCGTAGAACAGATACAACTGTATATGAAATTTCAAACTGATTTTTTTTTTTTTCGTGAAAGAATTTCTTAATTTCAACCAGAACTTTTCTTTTTGAGGTGAAGTTCTTTCTCAAGTTTTGATGTGGTGTAGGATTAAAGTCCCTTTGATGTACATGCGGATAACTTAAGAACGACAGATGTATGCCATTGGCCAAAGTCACGTCATCACATGCACGACATCACATGCTTTTTCAGTTATCCTTGATGTTCTCTTTATGTTCTTTTCTCCTGGCACAGGGAGCAGTCGGTACAAACATCACCATCGACACCCTGTGTGGAATCATGACAGACACGTCCAAGGGCTCACCTACCGAGAGATACGCTGCGGTAATGTGCATGTTTCAGAGCTTGTTTTCTAACAGGATGGAGTAATATAGTAATGCAATTTAATAGGTGTAGATTGCATTGTGGATGCTGCAGAATCTGGATGCACTTTGTAAATGCAATCATTATTATCATTTGTTATTAAGTGTTATTTTTTAAATTTTGTAATAGAGGATGCTGTAGAGTATTGTGGATATGCACTGTATAACTGCAATTATCACTAATATTGTTTTGTCCTCTAGCTTTTAAAAGTGGAACTTGGATTCAACAAAGTCGTCAGGCCTGACCTTCAATTTAGTCGAATCCGAGTGTTTGATATAGCAAACAGGCTTTTATATAAATCATTACTGGTACCAAACAATGTATAATGTATTCAACTTTCTCAATCAAAAGTAGTTTGGTTTCAAATGAAAGGCATTTTTGTTTCTTTGATGCCATACTCAAGAAATGCTGGATAATTCCAGGAAAACACACTAAACTCTACCGAGCAAACTCTTTGCAAAAGGGCTGATTTGTTCAAATACACTTCTCTGTCATTTATCATCTGTAAAAAAAAATTTTATGAGCGATTTGTGTAGCTATGTAGAGTTTAGCATAGGCCAACATTTGATTCCACAGTTCAGAGCGCTATTCATTATGTAGATGTCAAGACTAACTTATTATTGTGATATTGACCTCTAGCCAGGAAAAAAATAACTGTGATGCGCCTGTATCTCTAATAGCATTCCAAGTCCGGACTGCTTGTACCGTCTCCCCCGAAACACAGGCATACACTGTCACATGTGTGCTGGGCACTGGTTCAACCTCTACACACGCTAAGATACGTGTGCTTGCTAACAGAGGGTGTGTTGGTATGAAAAAAGGCTGTTGAATAGCTGCATAAGATATAAACAATAGGCAAAGCAAATAATGGTTCATGATGCAGGTGCCGTGGGTGGTTTTCAGGAACAGATAATGTTTGTTGCGGGAGTGAAATGAGGGACGCCACATCAGCGAAGGCTGTTCACCCTGCAAGCGACTTTGTTGAATCAGAGCCTGCTCACATATGTGTTAGTTGAATCTGAGGTATTTTTATTGATCTTTATTAATTACAAAAAATGTGGAATCCAACTCCTTTCTTTGAATCCAAGTTTTCATTGAATCTGAGTTCCACCGCAATTCGTTCAATTCGTCCCATAACAGTAAGGATTTTCAAGCAAACTGACTGTTGCCCACTGATTGTCCAGACCAGTGCTTGCCAACCTGAGTCATATCACACACTAGTGAGTGATTTGATAATTTTGGTAGGTGGTTGGGATCACCAGAGTATTGAAAAGTGTTGTGTAATGCTTAGAAATACATGTAGTTCACGGCGCACCGGCAGTGGAATTTTAGTTGCCACGGGGGGTTCCCCGCCGGGCGCCTTATCACGTCGGGGTCT